AATATCTCAACAAAGTGAGATATCAGCTCTTCCTCTCACCAGTTCTAGGACTGACCTATCGAGGGAACCTAAACTCGCTATTACAAATCACAGCAAGAACAATCAATTTTAACGTGGTTCGGCAAATTGTCTACGTCCACGGGGCAAGGAGGAGAGATCTACTATTAGAGGGAAGAAGAATACAAATAGGGTTTACAATCATACAACTCTCACAAGTTAAACCCTCAAAAAAGGCTCCCTGCTTTTCTTCTCAAAAAACACTTTTTTCTTTACACTTTTCCTCTCAGCCTAAAAAAAACACTTTTTCTCTCTGCGATTTCTCTTTTCCTCTGCCTGCAGCACAGCCGTCGAAAATTCCCCCTGCTCACTCTTGCACACAACCCTAGGCGAAACTAGGGTCCCTATTTATAGCTGCAAAGTGGGATACAGGTGGGCAATGGGCATTCGGGTGGGCCAACAACTGATCACGTGAACGTGATCTCTTCACGCGGAACTCGAAAACTACAGGTCCTCTCCCACGAACAAATTCGTGGCCCCCACTTGACGCTATCACGAGATAGCCTTCCGCTCCCTTCTCTCTCTTCACTTGTGATGGTGGACCCCACTCACAGGCTGAATATGAGAATTTATTAATATAAATCTCAAACCTTCTGCGGGTATCACTGAGCTAAACTACCATTTGTGTAGCTCAGGGGCTGTTTGGTTGTATGTTTTTACCATGTAAAAGAATGGAAATGTAAAAAAAGTGGGTCCCAATGTCAGCTTTCATCACTTTCAATTGTTTGTTTGTAGTTGTAAAAATAGTGTAAAGTGATTTCATATGCTGATGTGGCTTGTAAAGTGATTTCATAAAAAAAAAGACATGATTTTAGGAGAAAGCTGACATTGAAGTTAGAAAAAATAATAAAAAATAATTCCAACTAATATGATCATTTGAGTAGGGACCACTTTTTACACTTTCCAAACAAATAATTAAAGTTACATTTGCAAACCGAACAAGCAATTTATGATTCCAATGGAATCAAAAACAAACAAAGAAAAGTATACAAGTGAAATTAATGAGGTGGACAACAACTTTCCAAGTTGTGTCATAAACACACAATTTTACCAACAACAACCAAACAGCCCCTCAGTGGGCTTGCTGGCTGATAACAAAAATGCTAACTACAATTCATTTTCTTTTAATTTCTGTAGGATTATTGTGTACTAATCAGGTAATCAGCACTCTAGTGCACAAGTACTGTGAAACTAGTCACCTCTAATTTGGGACAGAGATGCTGATATTATACGGTTACAAATATAACAACAATTTAGCTACTATTGGTCATCCAAGTAATTATATCTATAGTTTGATTTTGTAATCTTATCTTGTGCAGTAATTTACATTTTATAAAAGCTGGATGGGTTTTTTATTTTTCTTCCGCATTTGTCATCCACTTTTCAGTTTATCTTTATTTTTATCATTTGAAATTTGTTTTGCGACCAAGGGTATTTTCGGGGGTTCATGTCAAATTTTATCATTTACTGTTCAACCAGTTTCCCTCTTCGGATAATAGGGCCAGCCATAAAAAATAAATAAATAAATAAATAAATAAAAAAAGGATAAATTTTTAAAATTAACTATTTTGCAATTTTAACAAGTAAAACCGACCATCTCTAAAAATAAATAGCTGAAAAAAAGATTTCCGAATCCCGTGCAGTTAAAAGATGCGAACTTTTTAAAAAAACCCTCAAACTCCAAGCCATAAAGATTTCCGAATCCCGTGCAGTTAAAAGATGCGAACTTTTTAAAAAAACCCTCAAACTCCAAGCCATAATCCTCTCCCACCCCAGCTCCTCCCTCCCCAGTCCCCCTCTCCACCCTGGACTCCCTCTCCCGCCGCTACCTCCGCCTCCGCCCCTCGCCGCCAGATCCTTCCTCCTCCTCCGCCCCACGCCTTCCACGTCCTCGAGCTGGTGGTGGTGGTGACGAACCAGGTGGTCGATGTGATCGACGGCGAGGAACTACGGGGGGTCTGTGATCGTCGGGGAGGAGGGTTTCGCCGGCGATGGGGATCTCGTGGGCAATTCGCCGGCGATGGGGATCTTGTCGAGGGAGGAGGTATATATATTTTCTCTTGCAAAGCAGGTATATATATTTTCGTGCTATGGAGCATCATTTTCAACTGTAAGCTCTCTTTTTAGCTTTCAGCTATTTATGTACCCGATACTGTGAAGTTTAAGCACTTTATTCTTGATATCAAATTCTCCGGATGGAAGCTCTAAAAACTCTTCTTGCATTTGCAGATGGCTGGGTTTTTCATATTCACAATTGCCTATCTTTATCACAAATAGATATTCTTGAGTAGGCATGAGATACAAGCATAATTCTCGAAGCATGAGATGGAAGGGACACGCTTCGTTGACGCAGATCTGGCAAGGGACCGGAGCTTGAAACCAAGTTCTGAACATGTTTCATAAAATCAAAATGCCATTAGTTGGGGCCTTGCCTTTGTTCTGCAATCTACTTGAAGTTAGTTGCGCCTTCGTCTCCTTTTCTGTGGTATTATCATTAGCAGAACGTATCAATATTATTGAGCAGAAACTGTAATGCTATTAGGCGGAAGCAGACCAAATAGTGAGTTGACTAAGTTACAGGCAATGTGTAATTCGCTACTTTTTAAAAAAAAATAAAGTTTTGATGGCTTCTAATTTATAAAAGAACTAAATTATTCACTTCACATTTTATTCTGGATGTTTGTATAATTTTGAATAATATTGAGAATAGGAGTTGAACAATTGTAAGTTGGGACTGCTTGGTTTGCAAAAACCTGGAAATGTGACTGAAGTCAAAAGGGAGCTGTAATTGCTGTCGTAATTATAGCTTTGATGCAGTTGCAGTTACTTACAAGAATGAATCCTTCTCAACAAAATGGTGCTGTAATTGCTCTTGAAATTATGACCATAATAATTGTCATGTCCCAAGTCTGCAGAACCCTCACATCTGAATGACTGACCCAAAGGAGGAAAAGGTATCTGCTGCATTAACATCGCTACAGACAGACAAAGCTGCTTGCGTGAACTATTTATTTCATCCAACTACGAACATAGCAGATTTCTATCTCAAAAAACTCACTTCATAATTAGACGCACACAACCCATCTTCACTGCTTCATACAAAATGAATTGCTACGACATTGACAAACCATGCGCTAATTTTACGAGATCATATGAGAAACGGGAATGCACAAAATCAAGAATTTACAAAGCTTGTGCTCTTTTTTTTTTAATGCATTCAAAACTAACTCCAAAGAACAATATGTTCATCACACTATCACAACAACAAAATTTCCGAAGCGGGAAAAAACATCATGAAACTGACACAAACAAAAACCGTTTGCACGCAAAAAAGTCTCACACATTTTCTTCAGAAACTAAGAGCTCAAAAGGAGAAACGAGAGGACCGCTGCGAACGAAAGCTTCGTCATTGCTTGCAGAGTACCGAAGTATCGCGCAGCTGAAGAAGCACCAGGTGGCACATTCCCACTACCGGGGGTACTATGTTCTTTCGAACAAGCCAAATGCAGCCCCAAAACCACCTGAATCCTCCTCCTCGTCCTCATGCCGATCCCAAAGCCCTCATCAAACTCTGATCAAAACCCTCCTCCCCACCCCTCACGGTCTACTCCTCCCTCGACAAGATCCCCATCGCCGGCGAATTGCCCACGAGATCCCCATCGCCGGCGAAACCCTCCTCCCCGACGATCACAGACCCCCCGTAGTTCCTCGCCGTCGATCACATCGACCACCTGGTTCGTCACCACCACCACCAGCTCGAGGACGTGGAAGGCGTGGGGCGGAGGAGGAGGAAGGATCTGGCGGCGAGGGGCGGAGGCGGAGGTAGCGGCGGGAGAGGGAGTCCAGGGTGGAGAGGGGGACTGGGGAGGGAGGAGCTGGGGTGGGAGAGGATTATGGCTTGGAGTTTGAGGGTTTTTTTAAAAAGTTCGCATCTTTTAACTGCACGGGATTCGGAAATCTTTCTTTCACAGCAAAATCGACCCAAAAGGGTCGATTTTGCTATTTATTTTTAGAGATGGTCGGTTTTACTTGTTAAAATTGCAAAATAGTTGATTTTAAAAATTTGTCCATAAAAAAACTGATGTACAGCTCTCTCGCTCGCTCCCATATACCCTCTCTCAGCCACAACCACGCCTCCTCCCCTGGAAATATTCCTATTCCATCACCGC